TTCATGGCTGTAGTGACAGCAGCAACAAAAAACAAAACGGTATAAGCTTTTATTGCATTTCAGTGTTACACTGAATTCTGTGACCGCCTGATCATAGTGGGCACTGTTTTAAAATTTGTGTTCACATGTGCGAGTGCTTTATGCAGACTATGTAAGCTACGCCGACGTGCATCCATTTCTGTTCTGCAGTGTTGAGCAAGCCTAAGGTCTGATTCACAAATACTACCTCTGCACAGGTGACAGGTGTGAGTGATGCTGCAGCATGACTGATACAGCTTGCATGCACTGGCCTTTTATACATACAGTGTTTGCACTAAGGAGCGCAGAAGCAAGGACGTTATACAGGCACGCTTTATCCAAACAAAATGTCAAATCAGTCACCGTGCACAATAAAAATGTATAATCCTTAAAAGAGCACAATACATTTGTTTACCCTCAAAAGCGTTCTAACTAATGATTGGGCAGAAGTTTCAAGTCTAGTAGACGAACCAGGAAATCTGTGTGAAGCACGGAATGTTTAACTAGTATTTCTTGTAGCAACATTCATGAGTTAATATAAAAGTAAAGCATGTTTGAAAGCACTGACCTTTTAACATGAGTGCTGGAATGAAAGTCAAGACATTCACTCACACCACAAAGAGGTAGTATGTGTGAATTAGTCCTAAAAATGAGAAATGCGTGTATGTATGTTTTATGTTGTCTATTCAACTTAAATGTACTTTGACATGAATGTTTCATTACAGGTTTTCTACATACCTAAACATCACATGAGGAAGGTCTGACAGTGTCTACACCAGACAGTAGTACCATTTTGCCTCAAGAAACAAAACACTTGTTTGTAAAAGATTAATACACACACTTCATTAGCACCGGATAATAGTCATAATAAGCAATAATGATAAGTTATAATAAGTTTAGATTTGTCCATGATACACAATGTTTTATATTAAGAGGTATTGCAGAGCTGTTGGAAGAATTATCTTACACCTCAAGCCTGTTCTGTCATGCTAAACGGCTAACATGTACCATTTGTACTCTAAACAGGGCTCCATTTGGACAGTGGTTATCAAAAATACGTCACCAAATCTTCTTTATATTCTCATGGTAGACAGAAATGATAAATTTGTCTATGACAGGTCCTAGATCAACTGTTTTTTTTTAGGTGACTTGCCATCGCCCTGTGATGGACTGGAGACCTGTCTAAGGTGTGTCCTGCCTTCTGCCCAAAGACCACAGGATAGGCTCCAGCAACCCCCCCTTCGACCCAGAGGAAACAGCATTCATGACTGTGGTGGACAGATGGGCCTTGGTGTAGGGTTCATAATTTCTGGCAGCTGCCTTCAGAATATGTGACTCCAATGCATCTGCGCACACACACACCAAAAAAAAAAAACAAATCTTTCCAGACGACTTGCCATCCCTTCACCTTTTCAGCCAAAAAAAGGATTTGTGACTAGGGTGTATATGCAGGCTATGGCATGGGGGTCACCAATTCTGACAGCTGCCATCAGAATATGTGACTGCACTGCCTCTCCGAAAAAAACAGTGAAAGACTGATTTTTTTCAAGTGACTTACCATTCCTTCACCTTTTCAACCATAGAAGCATTCAGGACTGTGTTTTATAGATGACCCTTGGCATTGAGGTCACCAATTCTGACAGCTGCCTTTAGAATATGTGACTGCTCTGCATCTCCATGAACAATAGTGAAATACTAACCAAATCTTTTCAGATGACGAACCACCATTTCACCTTTTCAACCAAAAAAGCATTCGTGATTGATGTGTACACATAGGCCTTGAGATAGGGGTCATTAATTCCGACATCTGTCATCAGAATATGTGACTACTCTGCATCTCCACAAAAATCATATAAAAACCAAATCTTTTCAAATGACTTAACATCCATTCACCTTTTCAGCCACTAAAAGGATTTGTGATTAGGGTGTATATACAGGCCTTGGCATAGGGGTCATCAATTTCTGATAGCTGCCATCACAATATGTGACTGCACTGCCTCTCCACAAAAAATAGCGAACGACTAAACAATGTTTTTCGCTGAAAGGTAAGCAGTTCACTTCACTTTGCCTTAACAGCCTCTTGCGTTTTGCAGCAGGCCAAGTGCTTTTGATATAATAATGGGATGAAATGGGCAGTCTCTATATAAACTCGACATGATCCAGTCTCAGATGTTGTTGTTGAATCAGAAAAACTGAATTTAACTTTCCCTTATAAATGTAACTAGTTTGAATGTTCTTGTTTTTCACGTTGTTACACTCCTTTATTTTAAGCGCTGTATTTACTGCATATACTGCTTCAGTTTTGTGCTTCATACAAAAGTTTTTCTGTAATGAAATGCCAAATAATATTAGAAGTTGTGTTGGCAATGACAGTTGCAGCTCAAATGATATACTTCAGTCTCAAGGCTTGACTCACACTTGCACCCCAGAGACTCGATTTGGACACGCACTCAAGAGACTCTAGAATCAACTCGGACATGAAGTGACTTGTGAACATCTCTTTATATGAGGAAGATCTCTGTACTGTGGAATTTAGTGCTGTTCTTGCTCTAACACACCTCACTGAACACAGCTGCTAATTAGCAAACCTGTCATGAGTTGAATCTGGGCCACGTTCAGCAGGTTTAATGTTGCACAGAGCAAGCGTGTTTAGCATACGAAAAAACTCTAGCTCTATAAAAGACATCTTCACAGCTTTCTGCCATGTTTTGGCTTACTACTGAACATGGGTCAGGTGTATTTGGGTGGAGGAAAACTAAAATGATCAAAAATGATACACTTAATGCTTATGTGTAGCCAACCGATGCTGTTTAAGGATTTAATGTTATTATTGTTTTCACACAACTATATTTATGTTTATTTGACCTAAAAATGCAAGTAAAAGTAAATAAAACAAAGATGCACTCTCATTCTTCTCCCAACTTGTCTGAAATGTGTGGAATAGCTGCAAAATTAAAGATTCTTTCTTCTTTATTGTCATAAACAGCTTCAAAAGTATAGATGTTTCTAAAACTCTGTTTAGCATGTCCAATTGGCCTGACTGCATGTCTTTGGACTGTGGGAGGAAACCAGAGCACCCAGAGGAAACCCACAGAGACATGGGGAGAAAATGCAAACTCCACACATAAAGGACCCTGGTCACCCAGCCAGGGAACCAAACTCAGGCCCTTCTTGCTGTGAGGCGACAGCGCTATCTGCTGTGCCACCATGCCGCCCAAAAGTAATACAATTAATGTTAATGTTTTCATCTTAGTGCACACAAACTGGTCAGGAGTTATCAGTCATTGACACAGTTGTACACTTTCAATGGAATCTGCAAACTTGGTGTTGGTGAAGCTAACAGATCAGGCCACGCACTGAAAACATTTGGCGCATTGTGAAATAAAAATATAACAAAGGAGACCCTGAACTGATCAGCAGCTGAAATATATTGTGCATGAATGGGAAAATATTTCACTTTCAAAACTGCAGCAACTGGTCTCCTCAGTTCCCAAACGCTTACAAAGTGTTGTTAGACGAAGGGGTGATGCAACACAGTGGTAAATATGCTCCCATCCCAACTTTTTGGAAACCTGTTGCAGGCATTAAATTCAATAATGTCTCAGTTTCAACATTTAATATGTTGTCTTTGTACTATTTTCAATTAATTATAGGGTTTATATGATTTCCACATCATTGCATTTTGTTTTTATTTACAGTTTGCTCAGTGTCCCAACTTTTTGGAAATGTAGTTGTAGATCTCTTTCTAAATTTTCTAACTAAATAAATATCACATCTAAACCATATCTAACAATATGTTATTTATAGCTTTGTGTTGAAGTCTCAGCAAAGGTTCGTTAGTGCAGTCTTGTACATGTAGCATCGTTTCGACAATCAATTTCATGTTACTTTTTTGCCTGGCAAGCAAAGTTTAAAACAGTTACACGCTTAGGCACTAATCTATACAGATGGGGAAAAAGGTAAACAGTCAGATGAGTCATCCATCAACATTTGCTCCATGAGTAGGCGAGTGTATGTGTGGGGTACCTCAAGAGGACAGTACAGGCATGCTACAGTGAATTCTGAATGATCTTCTTTATCTTATGATGAAACATTTCTATCTTGTTGGGAGTGCTCTTTTCTAGGTTGACAATGTCCCCCATCCATAGGGCACAAGACGTCACTGAATGGTTTAAAGATGCTTAATGATGTAAATATTATGCTGTGGCCATCATAGTCATCAGATCTCAACTCAACTGAATAACTATGAGACAGTTTGGACATGTGTTTGACAAACCTCTCCACCACCACCAACAAAGCATCAAATGAGGGAATATCTTTTGGAAGAATGCTGTTTCATCCTTCCAATACAGTTCTATAGATTTGGTGACCCTTACCTCACACTTCATGTTGGTTTTTCCTTTAATTTCAATAGCTTACTTTTATAAATATATTTGGAAGCAGCAGAGATTTACTTCTTATTATGTACTAGTTTGATGTCTGTGCTAATACAGCAACAGTTATCAGTAAGAGTAGAATCAGCCATGTGTAAAAATACATTTCAAATACAAAATATTCCTAAAGTTCAGTGTGTCTAGAGACTAATAATTGGTCGAAAACCCAGTTGTTATGTGCACCAAATTTTAGCCCCAATTTCACAAAGCACACTCAAAAACAAGGGGGCTTTTCAAAAGCTGGATCCTGAAAAAATTTCTACGGGTCAGTGAGGTGTTTGTGCTCATTTTACCCGTTGCATGTGTTGCCAAGAACACAGAGTGATTGACACTTAGGCCTTTAGTGTTGCTCAGTGACTATGTCGTGACATGCCATACGGTTAAATCTCAACCTGTGTTGCCTGGCAAGTAAATGACAATAAGGCCACAGTAATCCAAGTCAACAAAGCCTTGTAACCTGAGATCACACAGACGTACATCCACAGTACTTATGCCGTGGCAAATGGGATGTCCAGACGGTTGTCATAGAAATCATCATTCCTGCTGCCACAACAGTGCTGAAACAACACTTCTTGGACAGAGCTTAAAACACTTATACCTCTGGGTTATGTAGACACGACCTTTGGATGTCATCAGCTGAACTTCATCTGAGGAGTTTTGAAGACACGTCTGTCTTGCTCACAGACACAAAAAGTCTGTTTTGAGAAGTGGTGCAGACTCATTTGCAGTTTTCAGACACTGGTCAGCACCATAAGAGTTTGGACAAACCTCTTTTGAGTCACAATTATGGGGTGCAGCTCGAGCAAAGGAGTTCAGGTTGTGGACGCTACCAAGCAGCCTAAAGACAGGCCCGATTCAGCAAGCTCAAAGTCATCAGATGAGGGAGAGGTGAAATCAGCCTCAGAAGGAGAACAAGATAAAGGAGGGGAGAATGACTGACATGTCCATCTATCCACCTGCACACACTATTAAATCCAAAGGTAAGATTCTGGAGTCGATTATGCCCTGCAATTACTCACAATATCATTTTTCATTATTCTGGATCACAAATAGATATTGGTGAACTTATACCTTTAACAGAATGGACACATGGCTTATAGTGAGTAAAGCTAGTAAGTTAAATTGATCAAAATAGCTCAGTAGCTTAATTTGCATAATAATTGAGGGAACATCTAATGAAGTTCTAATCTGATATTGACATGTATGTTTGATTGTGGTCATATTTCTCAGAGTGTTGTTTGTGTTACAGTACTGTTTGTAAATGGCTGTATTTGATAGGCACTGATATGAACCTGTATCTGTTGTTTGCAGTCTCCCCCCATGTTCTCCACACCTGTAGAAGATTCTGGATCCACACTACTCCTATGTGTCCATGCTATGGACTTTAATATCCATCTGAAAAAATCCAACTATTGCTATTTACTTATCAAGCTAAACAGCACACATGGTCAATATGCCAAAGTAAATAATAGATTTGCCAAATAATAAAGATTTATTAAAGAGGAAAATGTCTAATTAAATTTAATTTACACTTTTAATGACCTAAAAACTGTGGTTACCTCTACAGCAATATTGTTGTCAAGACAATACATGACAAGGTTTGTTGTAAACTGGAAAGTAGAACAAGTTAAATTGGTTAAAATTGGTTGTTAATCATTAATATGATAAGAAAAATATGATGATGTGTATGTACACACATGGCAAATGGCAGTAAATATTTAAACTAACAATTTAAACTGTGTGGGTACATCAAATATATGAACGTGATGACAGTAATATAATAATGCTAAATATTAAAATAAAAATAATAATGAATATTGTTGCTGTTGGAACAGAACCTCGTTATCCCATTTTGAATGTTTTAAATTTTTCATGTTAATTTGAAAATGTCTGTGCTTTACACTGAAAATTTCATGATGAATGGATCAATAGAAATGGTCCAGAAACATGTCAAATAAAATCTTTTTGCATTAATTTACGTTTACAATTAAGAACGTTTTTGCTTCTGAAAAGATACAGCGTTTTTTCCTGACAGCAACAACATATATAGTGAATAAAGAATGTAAAATTTATAATAATAATAATAATAATAATAATAATAATAATAATAATAATTATTATTATTATTATTATTATTATTATTATTATTATTATTTGTTTTTTTTTTATCATTATTATTAACGTCCAGTACCTCTGGAACCTGTAGTACCTCTGCAATCCACCAGATGTCTCCCCTTTTCCTGCGTTTCCGCTCAGAGCCACTGGGGAGCAGCAGTGCACCGCCGCAGCGCCGCCCGTTCCCCGCTGCTTCGCTTCATTTGCTGAGAACATTAAATGTGATCGAAATGCATGTTTTAGGTTTATTAGCGCAGATTGGATGGAGCTTGAGGGGAGCGGTGGTCCCGCACAGGCCCTATCACACCCCCCCATCAGGAAGACAGCGGGAAATTACCGCAGAAAAAAAGATCACCATTACACAAATGGAAGCTCTGATTGAATAACGTGTTTGAGAAGATAAATGAAAAGCACTTTGTCAGGGAGGGGGCGAGAGCGGCGCGGTAAATAGCTTTTTAATTTCAGATACAAGATGAAAGAAAGCGCGATTTTTTTTTGTTTTGTTTTTTGTCTGCAGCGTTTGGCTATTGATTAGAGCGGCCACACCTGCCGAGAGAGCGCGCTTTATTAGCTCATTATCAGCTAATTAATATGCAAGCATAAAATGCCAATTATCTCGGCGCCAGAATGAGACGTTGATGTGTTAATGGCGGGATTGATGGCTTCCTGCGGGCCCGAGGCTTCTGACTGCCATCTTTAATTGTGGTCAGAGAGACCAGCGGTGAGGAATCGCTTTGACTGAATGACGCTATTCTCAGAGAGACCGAGCAGGCAGGGCTGAAATGACGGACTTGACGTGTGAGTCCATATCCATCCCGTGTTATCTCTTTAAAAAATCCACTACTGCTTGTGCTTCACGCTGGGGGAGTCAGAGATTATGCTGGGAACTATTAGAGCTGCTTGCTGAAGTAGATGAGGCCATTTTATCATCTTATTCTGCTGGGTGAATGCTTTGAGGGGACTCATTGGGAAATTGTGTTTTGTTTGATGGAGGGGATTTGTTGAGGTGTGGTAATTTTCTTTGTCCTGCTCTTTAGTCTCAGCTTTAATAACCGTTACGCTGTTAAATTAGCTATGAAATACTTTCACAGTCTCTCTGGTCTGTCTCTTTCACTCTCATGCAGTCAACTATCGGCCTCTCTGTCTCTACGACAGGCTTGTAAATATACAGATAAGTCTAGCAGTTCAGAGCAGATCAGAGAGCAGGTGTGTCATTGCTGCTTTCCTTTTCACTGTCATTATATTCATAAGGCTACATGGGTGACAGGCCACTCTTTATGTTCCTGGGGTTTATATTATGTGAAAGCCTTCAGATAAATACATGCTGGATCATGGGATTCTGGCAGGAGAGTTAGTGTTTAATCTATAGCATTATAACATTGAGTTTCAGTTCTACTACTCAGCTGGACTGTGTTGAATTTAATGTTGTTTCAATGAGAGAATGTATTTGTGGGCGGGGCATGGATAGCACAGTTAATGTTCAGTTTGTAAGTCAACAATACCTGATATAAATCATAGAATCAAAAGGTTTGAAAATGCAAAAAAAAAAACTGTCCAGAAATTGTACACCATGTTAATATTATTTAGATTACAAGAAAATCAACATCTGTCAACATTTACATTTGTCAACATTATGTAAAGCTTGTCCAACCTGGAAACAGTCACAAAAGAATGTAGTTGTGGGCGGGGCATGGATAAGTCAAATGATGTCCAGTATAGAAAGACTGAGTGCATTTAATAAACACTTAATAAATGCATTAACTGCAGGAAATCAGATAGTTAGATTAGTCAGTAATCTGATCAACACGTTTACATGCACTTGAGTAATCAGATAATGGGAAACTCTGGGTCTACATGAGTCAGACAGTAATCAGATTTCTGCTTTACAACCAGCCAGTAAAGTCACAGAAGAAGATGTGACGTAAACGTAACGTCAACTCAAACTTCATGCCATGGCTTTTTTTTTTAAACATCACGCCACTTTACCTGAAAATATGAACTTAGATCATCTAGAAAATAAAAAAAATATATTTAAATCCATCATTTCATCACGCTTGTAGTTGGTTTCATCGTCGCTCCAAAAGTGCTGCTTGCTTATTTCCTGTCTGTTTTCGCACATGAACAGACAGAGAGATCTGAAAGAAATCAGAGTAAGAGTTTACATGCACTGAGAAATGTGATTACTGAGCTAAAATCCAGCTTTCTTTATCGGATTTCTTAATCAGATTTCTAGTTCAGAGTATGCTGTTTACATGACCATTTGAATAATCAGATAATTGCAGAAATCCAATTATGATCAGATTATTGAGTGCACTCAGTGAAAATGCTAACAAACAGATTTTTTACTGTCTTCGTAAATTAAATTGTTAAGATACAAATAAAGTCATTTGGTGTGGTTTGATGTAAAATGGTGCATTGTTAAAAAAAAAACAAAAAAACTACCAACTCAGACTTTACAGTGGTGGTGATAGGAACCAGGAGTCACAATGTCTTCAACACAAATATAGACATTTTAATTACTATACAAATGTGCAGTGAACCTACACGTGTCTTCTGAGTTTTTATGTGTAATGTTGATAATGGTAAATAGTGGTAAATCTAAAAAATAGTGGATTTCTTTGGGGACTACTTTGCCTTAAAAAACTGTTATAAAACATCATGCAACATATTTGTAACTATATCATGTAATAACCTTTTGTGAGGGAGCTTTTAGAGGCATTAAAACGCTTCAGATGTCTGGTTCCTATCACCACCACTATGAGCAATTCTGACTTCTGATTCTTTAGAACGGAAGAGTATGGAGCATTTCACATCAAAACTCTGAATGATGTTTACATCTCAACCATTTAATTATCCAAAATCCAGTCGAATTCCCTTTTAATAGAAAAAGTAACCTGAATATTTAGACCATGATACATAATACATAAGGCCCTTTGTGTAGGTGGTGTGTGCTACATCCATTGTTTTTCTAGGTGTGTAAGTGAATGAAAGAGTGTGTTGCGTGTCCAGTTTGTGCTCTTGTCTCGTGTGTGTACCTGTGTGTATGGTGTACGTGCATGGCGTGTGCTAGTCGTGCGCGTGCGTGTTTGTATATATCTCAAGGTGAGTGCGAGTGAATGCGTCTCTCAGGCAGCTGCTGTGTAATCATGTGAAAGCTGGTGGAGCAAAAGAGAGCCGCCAGCCCGGCAGGTGCACCTATTCATCTCGCAGATTTGTTTTGCCTGAGAGCAGCCTGGCAGAAGTCTGTTCAAAGCAAATGGAGAAAAATGGGAAAACGTATTCTAAATGTCATTCATTCAGCCGCCATGTCACTCTGACCTTAAAAAATCATCTCTCCCTTTTGTAAATGTGGATCCTGCAAAATACCACATTTTGATAAGAGATGGAGACTGCATGAAAGGCAGTTGTGTGTATGTGTGTGCGTGTCTGGTGGGCATGTCAGGTTTGAGTGCACCTGTAGTGGCACGATGTTTTACAAAACCAAGCTCATATAACACAACTCCTAGTGTTTTTCTTATTGTTGTTCCTCTACACGTTGTACGCAAGCGTGAATGCTTGTTCATTTATGTAAGTGCAGAAAAGCAAAATGCACTACACTACACTGTTTGAAAGAATCCACAATTAGTGAATTCAGCTTCACCCATTTTAAGCTGGTGCAGGTGTTCAACTGTGCACACAAAGCTTCTATTTCCATAGAAAGGCGTTATTAATAGAACGGGATGCTCTGGAAGATCCACACATGAGCCTAAGATCACCATGCCCAATGCCAAGCATCGACTAGAGGGCTATAAACCCCCTGGCAGTGGGCTGTGGAGATGTAGAACTATTGTCTGGAGTGATGAAGCACCACTGAATGTCTTTGGGATGATTTGGAGTGATTGTGATCCAGCATTATCCAATGTCAGTACCTGACCTCACTGATGCTCTTCTGGACTAATGCAATCAAATCCGAAACAGTGTTCCAACATCTAGTGTTAAGTCTTGTCAGAAGAGTAGAGGCTCTTACTGCAGCAAAAGAGGGAACAAACACCCTATCAATCATTGGACAAGCAGCTGTCTACAAACATTTTGGCCATATAGTGAATAAGGTGTGTTGGAAATGACATTTTATGTATATATATATATATATATATATATATATGTGTGTGTGTGTGTGTGTGTGTGTGTTTGTATTGAATATTGAGAAAAGGGGGCTTGGGCGGGGGGCATAATTCTCTGTGTACATGTGTCATTCAAGATAACTGGTTAATTTACAATTGGCCTTGACAGGCCCTGGCCAATTCTAAATTAATTAGTGTGTGTACATGTTTGTGCGTGTTTGTGCATGTTTGTGTGATCACCACAGTAAAATAGAGCTCTCTGCTACACGAGAGAGAGAGAGAGAGTGAGAGAG